AACAGATGCAACACATTTTCCAGCCCTTACCTATTTTTAATTTTAAGCCTTAAAATCCTTACCCAATAGGGATAAACCAAAATTTCGGGCACTGAGAAAGATAACTAAATGAGAAGTTTTGAAGCAGTACAACCTTTAAGCCAGTAGTAAGTAATTAAGCACATTTTGGCTACGAACAAGAAAGATAACTAAATGAGAAGTTTTGAAGCAGTTCAACCTTTAAGCAGGTAGTAATTAAGCACATTTTGGCTATGAACAAATCTTTTTAAAGCACACTCACCTTCTTTTTTAATTTTGTCATTCATATTGTTGATATAAATTGTGTGGTTTGGCCTGATATCCATCTTTTAGGGTAAGCTGTCCAAACAGCCTGAAGAGACAGTAAATATTCTGTTACAAACAGGGAAGACTTAACTCATACTCTTGGTGTGACATTAGGACACAACACAAGTGTTACTAACTTTTCAGTTCTCTTTCATTCCCTAATGCCAGAAAACATCAGTTTGGCAGTAGTCGTTGGAAAAGCTCTCCAACTCTTGCTAGCTTTTTTTTTTTTAATTATTAAAACAAAAGGAGAATAATGCTTGGCGGAGCACTAGTACCTAATAAGATTTTTAACATTCCTTTATTCAATAAATTTTACACTTATCTTCCACTTATAACCAAGTGATATTGTTTTTCCATCTGCCTAATAAAACAACTTTGTGTTTTAAATTATTTAAACCCCGAGATTTGAAGAAAAATGAAAAAGAAACTAGCAAATGTACAGCCAGTAAAAACCATTTAGAACATTAATGAAGTTTGCCAAGAACTACTATTCCATGTGTACACTTACATAGCACTTTCATATCTGTTACTAATTTATACACATCACCACTTACTGTCCTCACTCCAGTTATCTCGAGCCAATTAAAGGGATGGAGCCCTAGCCGGTTTTGCTCAGTGGATAGAGCCTCGGCCTGCGGACTGAAGGGTCCCAGGTTCGATTCCGGTCAAGGGCATGTACCTTGGCTGCAGGCACATCCCCAGCAGCGGGTGTGCAGGAGGCAGCTGATCGGTGTTTCTCTCTCATCGATGCTTTTAACTCTCTATCCCTCTCCCTTCCTTTCTGCAAAAAATCAATAAAATATATTCTTTAAAAAGTAAACAAAGGGATGGAGCTGTGAGAGAGCAGTACCGCACGATGGTTAAGAGCTCAGATTCTAGTATCAGCCAGATCTGAATTCAAACCCAGTCTGTGCTTCTGACTAGCTGCGTGACTGGGGTGCAAGTTCCCTAATCTCTCCGGTTCCCCATCTGTAAGATGGGGATGGTGGTCAACAGCATTTAGCCTGGAGAACTCAGGAGACTAAATGAGACAAAGGCCCAGCACAGCTCTTGCCTGGGCAGTAAGCGCCTAAAGCCGCTGTTATTAAAGGTTAATGAAGGGACTTGCCTAAACTCACGCGGCTAATAAGCCGCAGGCCTGGAAATCCGCTCTTGCCTTCTGGTCTCCGCACTCCTCTTCCACACTCACCTCAATATTTCAGCTTTCACATTGTTTTGAGTTGCAAATTCTGACCTTGCTTTATTCCCTAGGGCCGTCCCACATATCCTTTAACTTCACAAATACCTAACTTCACCCACCGTATGTGAAGAGCACAGGATGACTGGCAAGGGAAGGGCCCGCGGACAGGGGCCCCGCTTGTGCGGGCAATACGTTAAAAGGCAGGCTTCTCGGAGACCTGCGGGCTGCTCATCTGAAACCTGAGGTCGCCAATAGGAGGGAAATGATCAGAGAGGAGGCTCAGGGTAGGTTGGATGGTTGCCTGGACGACTGCAGGGGCACTGGGGAAGCCTCTCAATCCAAAAAGGAGCCTCCGGAAGCTACACGAAAGCTCAGAGCGAGCTGGAACCAGCAAAGGGACAATAATCATCCCTCACTTCGTACAATCATCCCTCCTCTCCCGACACAAGCACAATCGCCCAAGGCCCCGGACCGAAGCCCAAGGAAGTAGCCCCGTGGTCCCGGACCCTACACGTTTGACTCCAGACAACGCTCTTAAGATGGGAGGCCTCGCCGGAGCGCCGCGGCAGCCTCCATTCCTCCCCCGGCCGCTGGCCCAGCCTTCCGCGAACCCCAGGTCCGGTGCATGCAGCCCCACCACGCCGCCCCGTCCACTCGCAGCTCCCGCAAGGGAGCGCTGGGCCGAGGGCCAACCTGCGGCCTGGAAACCGAAACAGCGGGACAGAACTCATTCAAACTCACCTGAGGCCCGCCCGGCGTCCCGTAGCCACCGAAAGCCGGAAGCGGAGCCAGAAACAGGAAGTGACGGCACCAGGAGCCTCAATGGAGCGCAGATCGGTGGAGGAGCCGAGCACCGAGTCGGTCGATGCCCCGCGGCTGCGCCTGAAATCTCCCTGCGCATGCGCGCCCTGGCGGGCGGGGAGAAAACGTGGGTAGGGGGAGTGGGGAAGAAGGGGAAGGAGCCTGTGGGAAGCCTGTGGGTGAAACAAATCTTGGGGCCATAGAGTGAGAGGATAGGGGAGCGCAGTGATTCATTTCCCCTGCCACGACTTTGCGCGACTTGAACCACGCAAAGGTAGCGTCCATCTTTCCAAATCCTATTCAGTTTTACAGGTGCCGCCCATGCCCACTGCCAGGGCAGGCGCCCTTCTACGGGCTCTGGCTGCCCCAGTTTAACTTCACATCCAGGGCAGCCAGCACCCCACAAATCTCCTCCGGTTCCTGGGCTCTGCGGGAACTCTCCAACACTGCTGATGGGCTTGCATCCCAGGGACACCTCCGCTTGAGGCCCCAAGTGGAGGGAGTCTGTGTCCCTGTCCAGCTCTGTAACCTTATGAGGCAAGCACACTTGACTAATGACCAAACACCTGTAAGGTCATCAGCCTAAACGCACTCAAAACTCATTAATTTTCTATCGTCCTTCCCATCTTCCCATCTCCCCACAAAATGCCTATATTGTCCTAGGGTAAGACAAGTTGTTGGTGTTTAGGCCAAGCTGAACGGGAATTCCAAAAAGGGCACATAGCCATTCATCCATTCGTCAAATATATGTAAAGCATCATCTGAAATGTTTGTTATGAGCCAAGAGGAATCTAATCTTGTTAATCCCTTGAACTCGGAAACGTCCTCATATGTAAATTAGGGATCATAATAGTAACTCCTTCTAGAGTTATTGTGAGGATTAAATGCACTCAATATAAAGTGATTAGACACAAAAGAAATGGTTCATAAATGTTATTTGTAAATACTGGAGATATGCATGGAGAGACCAAATAGATGGGTCTTATAAGATAGGGATTTTTATTTTAAAAGGTCGCCTAAAGTTGCAATATTTTGAAATAATGTAAGTTTTTTTGAAAGCGGGGATTTCTGTCTGCTTTGTTCACTCAGGTAGCTTTAGTAACTAGAAACGTGGCTGATAAATATGTATTGAATGAAGGGATGAATAAATGAAGCTTCATGGAAAAATTAGACAACACCAAACAAATGTGATGTTTTATGAAGATGCACAGAAGTGTAGGAAATAAGGTTAAACAATCACAAAAAAAGCATTATTTTATAATATGGATGTAAAATTGAGAAGAATTGTAAATAGTTCTGTCTCAGTTAAGGAATTATGAGAGAGTACCCTTACTACATTAAAAGAAATATAAACAAAATTAAAAAAATTTTGAATAACGAAGGACAAGCTGCCCTGCACACTAATATGGACATCTGACCAATTAATTATGTTTGATGATAATGATGATAGCTAACCTATTTTTCTGAAAATAAGCTGTAACCTGACTATATTATGCAAGTCATTCTGGCCAAGAGCACATCATAACTATTAAGAGAGGATAAGGTGGATATTAAACCCTTATCAGATATTTTCCCATACAGTAGATTTCCTTTGCACTTTGTTGATAGTTTCTTTTGCTGTGGAGAAGCTTTTTAGTTTGAAGTAGTAGCATTTGTTATTTTTTTTTCTTTGTTTCCCTTGCTCTAGGCCAGCGGTTCTCAACCTGTGGGTCGCGACCCCTTTGGGGGTCGAACGACCCTTTCACAGGGGTCGCCTAAGACCATCGGAAAACACATATATAATTACATATTGTTTTTGTGATTAATCACTATGCTTTTACTATGTTCAATTTATAACAATGAAAATACATCCTGCATATCAGATATTTACATTATGATTCATAACAGTAGCAAAATTAGTTATGAAGTAGCAACGAAAATAATTTTATGGTTGGGGGTCACCACAACTTGAGGAACTATATTAAAAGGTCGCAGCATTAGGAAGGTTGAGAACCACTGTCTAGGTGATATAATGGTGAAAATACTGCTATATCAAGGTGCCAGAGATTTTACTGCCTATTTTTCTTCTAGGACTTTTATGGTTTCACAATTTACATTTAAGTGTTTTATCATTTTGAGATTATTCTTGTGTATGGTGTAAGTTGGTGGTCTAGTTTCATTTTTTTTTTAATGGTGAGACTTTGCAAAGGCACTCTACCTGGAAAGAAAAATATACAGTACCTGTCCAATTTTCCTAACACCATTTACTCCATTGTATGCTCTTACTTCCATTGTCAAATATTAATTGGACGTATTTGTGTGGGTTGATTTCTGGGGCCTCTCTTCTGTTCCATTGGTCTATATGCCTTTTCTTCTGCCAGTAGCACTATTTTTTTTTTTTTAAATATACTTTATTGATTTTTTACAGAGAGGAAGGGAGAGAGATAGAGAGTCAGAAACATCGATGAGAGAGAAACATCGATCAGCTGCCTCCCGCACATCCCCCACCGGGGATGTGCCCGCAACCCAAGCACATGCCCTTGACCGGAATCGAACCCGGGACCCTTCAGTCCGCAGGCCGACGCTCCATCCACTGAGCCAAACCGTTTTCGGCGCCAGTAGCACTATTTTATCACAATGGCTTTGTAGTATAGTTTGGTATCTGATATTGTGTTACCTCTAACTCTGTTCTTTCTCAAGATACACCTCAGCATCAGGAAGACAAGCAATCCAGTTTAAAATGGGGAAAGGACCCAAATAGACACTTCTCCAAAGAGGACATACAGATGGCCAATAGACACATGAAAAAATGCTCAAAGTCACTAATCATCAGAGATATGCAAATTAAAACTATAATGAGGTATCATCTCATACCTATCAGAATGACTATCATCAATAGATCAACAGTCACTATGGAAAACAGATGTTCAAAGTCACTGATCATCAGAGAGATGCAAATTAAAATGACAATGAGGTATCACCTCCTATCTGTTAGAATGGCTACCATCAGCAAATCAACAAATGACAAGTGCTGGCAAGTATCTGGAGAAAAGGGCACCCTAGTACACTGCTGGTAGGAATGCAGACTAATACATCCACTGTGGAAAACAGTGTGGAGTTTCCTCAAAAAAATTAATGGAACTGCCATTTAATCCAGAGATCCCACTTTTGGGCATATATCCTAAGAATCCTGAAACTTTAATCAGAAAACATATATGTACCCCTATGTTCATAGTAGGGTTATTTACAAATAGCTAAGATCTGGAAACAGCCCAAATGCCTATTTTGTTTGGTAGATGAAATGTATAAAAAAGCGGTGGGACATTTACCCATGGAATACTATGCAGCCATGAAAAAGGAGAGTCTCTTGCTCTTTGAGACAGCATGGATGACACTGGAAAACTATTATGCTAAGCGAAATAAGCCAGTTAGAGAAAGACAAATATCACATGTTCTCATTTATAAGGGGACTCTAGAGAACAAAATGAACTGATGAACAAAATAGGTCCAGAGGTATAAATGCATGGAACAGAATAACAGACCTTGAAGGGAGGGGTTTGGAGAGAGGGAACAGAAAAAGATTAACCAAAGAACATATATGCATATATGCATAACCCCTGGATACAGACAATAGCATGGGAAAGAGGTGGGGGTTGCGTGGAGAAAATGGGAGACATCTGTAATACTGACAACAATAAAATAAAATTAATAAAAGCCAAAAACAAACAGAGGATAAGATGGGACTTTGCAAAGATACTCCACCTGTAAAGAAAAAGAAAAACAACAACAACACAGAGACTTCAAATCAGACTACACATTGAGTTCTATTAACCACTAAAAAATGGCTACTATTCATTACACTGTGAGAAGGAACTCATCTAATGGCCAACTCGGTGGCAATGATCTACATGCTATTCCCCAGGTTTTTCTAAACAGAACCAGTGCACCTTTCTGTCCTTGGGCAGTTGGTCTGGGCTTTCCAATGGCCTGTTAGTCCTCGGTGGTTTCTTAAATGGTTTTGAGAAGCCAGTAATTGAAAGCAGGACTGAGAAAGGAATGAAAGGGGGAGAGGAGCTCTTCTGCCCTTGTGAGATGCCTTGAATGCCCTGGTTATATAACTATATTAAGAGCATTATAACATCTAAACTTTGGTCAGATGAGCTGTAAAAGGACCATCATTCCTTTATGATTAAATTCACCTCTTGAGGGTCAGATCAGGAATCCGATATTTCCAAAACTCACCTGTTTTTAAACAGAAGAGAAAAACAAATGGATTTGCTTAGGAGTTCTGCTCAGTCCAGTCTCTCATATTTCAGTGAGGCAACCTGATTTACTTTCCTGTGAAGCAGTTTTGCTTTTTATGGCACTAAACCCAGAAGCAGCACTACAACACTCTAGACAACTGTTACCTATCTATTGATGATGAAACTCGCCTATTTTAGAAGGTAGCAGCAAAATTACTACCAACAGTTGGGAATAAAACTGTGTTAAGACATCTAAATTATCGTCTAAGCTTGATAAACGAGGCGGCTCGTAGTGACTATGAATGCACATATATTTTCCTACCTTATCTGCACGTGTTTTATGTTTCTCATTAAATGTTTTCAGTATCTCGCTGCAGTATTTTTGAGATGCAGCCGGGTTTAAAGAAAAATGCGTCATAAAACTGGTGGATAAATTTTCGCCCATTTATGTTAGATAGAGTCACAGAATGTACGACAATTTGTTTCTATTTTCTTTCTCTCTCCAGGTGGTGATTTCATTAAGAAATTTACATAGAGTAAAATTATTTTACAACCATCACTAAACAAATCTAGGCATTATTGTTGAGCACCATATCAGGTTTACCTTGTCCTAGCTAGTTGGGATTATATTGACTGTAACTTCCTGAGAAGCACCCCAGCCCTGAAATTCAGGGAGGAAATAATTCTGTGCAATTATTTTGTCATTTTATTTCAGTCCTTATGTCTATTTTTTAAGAAAAATTGTTTTAGCCCTAACCGGTTTGACTCAGTGGATAGATCGTCGGCCTGTGGACCGAAAGGTCCCAGGTTTGATTCCAGTCAAGGGC